CAATATGATTATTTTTCACATAACTGTGCAGAGTGCAATACTACAAAATTACATCTTCTTTAAAAAAGACATAACATTTTTGTGTACTGGGGAGCATTAGCGCTTCACACTTTGTAACTGTAAACTGCAGTAAAGCTAGAAATCTTTAAAAACAAAGCAAGAATGCATGAAAATGGGTTCTGTGTGTTACAGAAAGTCCTGCAGATTTGAACCAAGATCCTGTTAGCAACAGACTCAAGAGAGTGAAAGCAGAGCAAGTGAGAAAGGGAGAGTCTCGGTTGTCTGATCTATTGGTCACTTCATCTTCTAACCGGTTTTCCTACGCTGTGCAGTTCGTTTGTCACTGCCGGCACAGGCTCATGTCTCACTTTCATGAAGAATTGTGTTTGCGAGTGTGCGCGCAGCAGTGCGTGCTGCTACAGCCGAGACAGAGACAGATGGGCTGACTCCCACTGGTTACATGTGTTTGCTCTCCGTCAGAACGCTCTGCCAAGAGGTCTGGACCCGAATGCCTCTGAGGGAAATATGCTCTCAAAGTGTCTGCCGGGTTTCTAGTTCAAAACCCTTACCTGAAACCGGCATGCAGGGGTTACAGCGGCTGTATGTCAGCGAGGTTAGGGAATAGTAGAGTTTGTGTCACTTAACGATGGCACGCAAACTCACAGCACTTGGTGAAGCGCTTAAATAGCACACCTGTCCGCCCTTTGCTAATCCTGGCTTCCTGGTGTTTGCCCATCATCCCTCTCACCTGTCCATCAAAAACTATACAGTGACCTCAATGTGCTGACAGCCCATTCAGGAGGCAATGACATCAGTATCAAGAGAAGACGGGGGAAAATAAATAAATAAATAAAACAGCCTTTTTGAAATCCCTGAGCTGCAGCAGTGCAAGTAGAACTTTTTGTCCCAGTTTGGCCGTTGACATTTTCCTGTTTTTTTATTTTTTCCTCCCCCTTCTGGCATCAGCAGAGGATTTATGATGAACAAAGGGAGTGAACACTGGATAAAAGCGCTAAACTGGCCTGCAGAGCCACTGTCTGGAGGGGGAAATAGCTTTGTGTGATGGGAGTTTTGTTCTAAGCCCCGCGGCCGGAGCTCAGTTTAACATCTGCTTCTGTCACACTCGGGGACGAGGTGCAGAACACTGTGGCACATTAAAGTACAGCCCAGTGCGCGCACACACACAAACACACATATAGTCTTTATGGTCATGTGAAGGCCTAGTCCCAGTACTCACAGTAAATAAGCATGAATATAAAAATAAAGTTGTAGTCAGCCTTTATTTTGCTCAAACACACGCACTCATTACTTCCTATGAAATGTTTGTCTAACCCTGGTAGCTGAGAGTAATCTACTTTAACTAGTGATGCAGAGTGTAAATAAAAGTGTGGTTAAACACCTCACCTACTATCAGTTTGACTAAGAGCAAGAACAGCTTTAAAAGACTACAAACTGGAACTCTTGCACAGGTTTGATTACCTCAAAAATGCAGTGAAAACAGTATGACGAGAGGTTCAAACAGTGTTAGAAAAGACAAAAACCTGAAAGGCTATCTTCTTCTTCTTTACCACACGCGATGCGAGCATGCTTCAAAGCTGCGTATCTTTTCTCAGACAGAACGCCATTACTCCGACCTCGCATCTGGACACTTTGTTTTACCAAGGTGACAAGTGTGAAGTGTTATAAATTCAGTTATCTTGCATGTCTTTGCGTCAGCTCAGACAAATGCTGAATGTTTTGTGGAGCTGGACTCGAGCTTTTGTGTTCAGAAAAAAATAATAATGAGGGTGTTTAAGCGGAAAGACCTACACTCAGTTCAGTTCCTGTAATACAGAGCGTGAATCACTTCACAATCTATGATGTATGAGGACAGGAGCATGCCAGCCTCCACATTATCTCCACATGAACTCTATGAACTTTGCTTCAAGGATTTTAACAGATTACCCATGCCCATGCTCACCTGACCAAGCATATCTCTCTGTCAGGCAGTGTGACGCACATTTGCACTACAATCCTTTGACAATGGATCACGAAATAGGATAAAACTGGAAGAGCGATGTCCAACTTTTGAGGAGCGTTGATTACTTCTAATTTCTTAACAAAAGGCCCCGTTATGCCCACCTTGCATACAACAAAATTGTCACGTCTAATGTCGCGAGCCGCCATTTCTACCAGTCATGCACCTCCTGCAAACACACAAGCATTTGACTGTGTTGGTTTTTGTTGACATTTTAATGACACATCAGTGCAGAAGCTCAGAGAGTGACATATTATATAGAGAAAGATGTTGCAACAGTTTGAAAACATTCAACTTATAAATATAACTAAAAAATAATTAGCATTTAACATTAATGGTGCCTTTGCATAAATAAAGCTAAAAAAACCCAACAAATCTGGACTTCTTATCGTCCCGTATCGGCACTGATCCAGGTTTTGTCTAGTCTTAATAACCACAAGTCCAGAACACATTCCCTCAGGTCTCAGCACTAACCCGTGTACTACCAATAACTGAAAGCAAAAAAAAAAAAGAAAAGAAAAGAATGTATTGAGTGCTTTTTAAAAATTTAAACAGTAAAACCCCCAAAATCTGAGGGTAACATGAATTTTTCTTCTCACCTAATACTTTTGTATTTGTTGAACACAGTCTGCCTGCAGAAAAGTCTTGACAAAATGGCGCGTTTGTGTACTTGTTAGTGTTGGGAAAAGTACGCATCGTTATTTTGAGGTATGCTAATTAGCCCTAGATGGTAAATCATTATAGTTAATCCCTATAGGCAGAGACCTGGACTTTTACTGTACCCCTGTGTCTGAGAGTGTGTGTCGCTGACCAGAAACAAATCATAGCAGTGTTTTTTTTTGTTGAGGAATGCAAAGGGGAACTCTACCTGTTCTGATAAAAAAAATTATGTTTTCACTGCAAACAGGAATGGTACAGATGGCAGCGTAGATGATGTCTCAGTAAACAGAAAACAGAGACGGATCGGTCGCCAGAGTGGAAACAAGCAGGTGGGCAGCGGATTTAATCACTTCCAGGACCATCTTTGTGTGTGTGTGTGTGTGTGTGCGTGTGTGCGCATCTTTCCGCATCTGTCAATTAAGCTCGAAAACCTGCAAGGTGAGCAAATGAGGAGAACCTGGGTAAAGGTGGTTTCCGTGGCAACTGCTGCACTTTAAAACACTTCCCCCACCCCCCGCCATACCCGTTTCACCTTTTTTTTTTTGCCTGCGGTGATGGTTTCCACACTGCGCAGCCAAAAAAGATTTCCTGCTAAGTGGTAACAAAGAACTGCAGGGAAGAAACCTGATGCACGGCGCAGGAGCCGCGGAGATGACAGCAGTGACAAGCTATTCCTGTCAGCAAAGCCCCCTTCATGGATCTACGAGCCGGGCGGGAGAAAGAGAGAGGTGGAGGGGGAGAGGCAAAAAAAAAATGTTGCGCGTGACAGGCAGATCCATCAGCAGCCTCAATAACGGGCTCGTCAGCGATCGTGTTCAAGTCACAAACCGCCCCTCTCCCCCTCCTCTTCCCTGTTAAGCCGCATCCATTTATTGCAACAAATGATTATATGGTTACTTTAACTGCCGGGCTCTGAAGGCAAAAAAATAAATAAAAAATCAATGCAAACATGTTTGAGGTTCACCGCCAGTATAAATGCCCTCTTTGGCTCAGTGGGCACATTTTGAGAATATTTCTCGTGCTCTGCTCAGATGAAATGTAACATGTTATTTCCTCGACTCCTTGACCTGCGTGTCATTTGTCAGCTGTTTGCGTATGCAGGATGCATTCAGGCGTGCACGTGTGCGCGCAGATGGCGCTGCAGGCAATTAGAAAAAGGAGAGTGGAAAGGGAGCCATTAGTGAGCAATTACCTCTGATTGCTTCAACATTGTTTTGGTGGGCTGCAGCACACTGTGAAATAGCCAAATGTTGCATTGTGGGCCTTCTCTCCTGCTCTGGCTCTTCCACTGCCGCCGCTGCTGCTCTCAACCACACAGCTGCAGCCGGAGCAGCCGGCCAGACACCGAAAATGTCTGCTATTGTCATTGTGCTTTTCCTCGGATCACTTTGTTGATCTCTGCCTTGGCTCTCTGCTCTGTCTCTGCTGTTGCTCTTGCTCAATATTTGCCTGATCCAATATTGCTGCCTCTCTTTTTCGCTTCCCAATGTGTCTACTTTTTCACTTAACTCCACTTCAGCGAGTCTATTTTCCCACCACTGCCTATTTCACTTCCTCGTTACGTCCCTGACACACAGCCTTTCTCGTGAATCCTCCTTAATTTCTTTTCTTTTAAACCTTTTCCATTATTGCTTCTTTTTTAGTAACTCGTTTGTTTTGAATAAAGGCATTGTTAGAACTGAATACCTTGCCTTTTGGTCCTGTTTTGGTTGGCCCACGCATTTCTTAACTGCAGTTTGAAACACTGACATTAGCATTTTGGTTACTGCAAAGTTTATGGGTGTGACACATGTACATGCTAATAAGTGCTAAGTAACAGACTCCTAAGATAGTAGTATTTCGCTCACTAAAAAAGAAGTAAAACATTACTGGATGGTCTGAGCTACACATATGTGATTGCATAAAAATTCCAAAAGGCACAAACAACAGGGCCAGCTACATGTCTTGAATTAGCTGAGGGTTAGCGCTAGCAAACAGCTGTTGGTTACAGCTGCGCGTGTCGACCGTCTCCAAATGGAAGCTTTATAAATATTTTTACACACCATGCAGTTGTTTAAAAAAAATGATGGGCATTTTAACATAGCAACCTGTGGAATGTTACACACTTTTTCAAGTGGCTAATCCAGAAACTGCATTTGTGCGTTAGCTTCATGTTCAAATTAAGGGTTGCTACTTCAATCTATACACAATGTTTTATGATCAGTATATCTGAATGTTATGCAGCACTGCCTGAGACAAATTACATTTTTGGATGGATAATTTAGAAAACATTGTGTTTTCTGTTTATTTTTATTTTTTTGCTAAACTGTGCTGATGTTTTCAGGGACACGTGCCTGCACTCTCTGTATTTGAAAACTCAGAAAGATGACATTGAGAAACAGGTAAGCACATCTCAGAAGAACAATTTTTTTTCAGCAGAGTGATGCTAATGTGTGTCGGGTGTATTGCTGCCTACATGAGACAGAAGCAATATTTTGACATTTTGGAAAGCACTGGCTAAGAATTTGCTAAAGTCTTTACTATCTGTATAACTGATGCACAGGTAAATGCTCTCACAGAAAGGTTTTGTTGTCATCAGCTACATTTGCACGCTGTCACAGAGCAGAAGGCTGTCAACACAGATCAGACCTTGTTAGAGCGCATTTGCAGACTGTCAAATGACAACAGATTGTACACAATCTATCACTGCCTACTGTCTAACATCTATAAACTGTTTTGGATTGATATTTGATCCTTTGCATGTAGAAATATTTTGCTGACCAAAAACAGAAACCTAGAATTGCAACTCACAGTTTAAGCCACATGGACAAAAGCATGATTGCTGCTGTGTTGCATCACCTCTTCTTTTAATAACATTATGCAGGTACTTGAAAAAGAGAAAACCAATTGGTGTAATTGGAAGGGAAGGGTTTTTTTCATTCTTCCCCAACGGTGGATTTCAGCTGTTACGATATTGTCTGTCTTAGAATGAACCAAATGCAGGAGACTGATTTATATGTTGCTTCAAAACTTGTAATTATCATTTAACATTAATGGTGCCTTTGCAGATGTGCAAGTGAAACCTCAGTCACACAGGCCTATAGACTTCCGCTTGTTAGAGAAAAATGTGTTTCCCCGACCATTTGGCAGGTGGTTGCTACTTGTTGCTAGGTGAAATTGGTCACACCTTTGTGACCAATTTGTAATGCACTAAAAACCTCCTTGTGATTGCTTTGTTTCCTAGCTGATTGCTGCAGTTGCCCGTTGATTGGTTGGACAATGGTTATCTGCAGACACTTGATACCTAACCACTGAGCAGCAGAGATGGGCAGTAACTGTAATCTGATTACTTTTTTCAGGTAATGAGTAAAATAAGGGATTACTATTGCAAAAACGGTAATTAGATTACCGTTACTTTCCCTTAGGAACGCTGCGTTACTGCGTTACTAAAACCGTGATTTTTTTGCGAGAATGTCTCATGACAGTGACGTAAGCGAGTCCGACGTGTGTGACAACAGCTGTGTGCAGATCAACAATGGATCATATATCGATTGTGGGCGAGAGTATGAGCGTGCAGCGTTTAAAGCATGGAAGTACTGACCTTACTTTGAGTTTGATTCCATAAAAAGTGACAAAAACATTAGTGTCCGTTGTGCGTGGGAAGAAAACTTCTTTTTACAGTGAAAAAAACCCCTAAACAAGCACTGAGTGCGCAACGACGTAATGGGAAATTCACAGAGAAACTTGCGGATTCTTCAACTGACCGCGGCACACCTGCACCAGGGTAAACCTCCGTCTACCGCAGTCCTGCTTTACAGGTGAAAATAGAGCAAAAGGACCGCTAGTCTTTGACTTTATTTATTTTCTGCTGTGTTTTAGTAGCATCTATTTGAAAGACTGAGTGTAAACACACAAAAAAAATGTTGGAATGTGCAGAAAACAAGTTTAAATGTTAAAAAAAATTCTTCCAGTCGGAGAATGTTGCATATAATTAAATGTAAATTTTAAAGTTAAAAGATTAAAACTGATAAAACAAGTTTAAAAAAGAGACTTTTCCATTTGATTACATTTTATATGAGATTATATCTCTCGGCTGGCCTGGGAACGCCTTGGTATTCCCCCGGATAAGCTGGAGGAGGTGGCTGGGGAGAGGGAGGTCTGGGCCTCTTTGCTTAGGCTGCTGCCCCCGCGACCCGGCCCCGGACAAAGCGGATGAAAATGGATGGATGGATGGATGGTCTATCGCTTTATTCAGGTTGTAAGATAAGATAAGATAAGATAAGATAACCTTTATTAGTCCCACACGTGGGAAATTTGTTTTGTCATAGCAGGAAGTGGACAGTGCAAAAGTTATGAGGCAAAAATTAGGATACAATAAGAATAAATACAGTACACAACTGTACAGGATAGAATAAATAAAATACTATATACAGTAGAATAAAATAAAATAAATATACAATAAGATAAAAATAGAATACAAATACAAATGCTATATACAACTGAGTAAAAATACAACGATGACAGAAAGGATTATTGCACTTAGTATTATTGCATATGTATGGATGTGTGTGTTTGATCAGTTAAAGTTTTTATTATGGAGTCTGACAGCAGTGGGGAGGAAATTGTGTTTTTAAAAAGTAACTAAGTAACTAAGAAATTAATTACTTTTGAAAATAAGTAATCAGTAAAGTAACGGGATTACTTTTTTGGGGAAGTAATCGGTAATTAGTTACTGATTACTTTTTTCAAGTAACTTGACCAACACTGCTGAGCAGTAGTTAAGCATGAAAAGGTGTGACTCAAATATATATGCAGGTGGCTGTGGCTATGAAGGTAGAGCAGCTTATCTATTAATCAGAATCTTGGTGTTATCATCAAGAGATAAAGGCCACTCATGATCTCACAATAATGTTATACATCATACAACCAAGACAAATGCACAACTTCTGGAAAACTGCCGCAATTTTTGTAATTTTCAGTTTGTGAAAAAAGAAACATCAAAGTTTAAGTGATATTATGAATATTGTCTTAGATTACAGAATTTAAACTGGAATTGGAGTGGCCAAACGAAATTATTGGATTAACAGTACCTAACCGTAACCTTATTTTCAAGATTTCAAATGTATTTTGAACGTACACTCAAAAGCTGTTTCATGGACCAGTGTGGGGTTTTGTTACTTCCTCATAGTTCAGGTTGATACAGTATTTTAACAAGTGGGGCATTAAAAATGTTAAAGGCATTGAAAACGGTCTTTCTTAGGCTGCAATTATTTTTTTTAAATAAATCCATCAGAGAGACTGGAGGGACATTAGAAGTAACAGAACAAACAGTTTGGTACAGTTTGGAAAAAAATGCAATCACCAGCTGGACATCCACAGAAGAAAAAAGGGGTGGAATAATCACAGGATCCTTTACAAACAAAACCAAAGTCTATAATCAGCCTCAAAAACAGAAAGGCCAGATTTGTAGTTGAATGACTTTAAATGTAATCTTCACAATAGTTAATTTTATTATTTGCAGAATGAGAAGCCACCCCTCTCAGAACATCTAGATATACCTCAGATGTATATGAATGAAAGATGTGCAAGGGCCATTAGAATCTTAATTACAAAAGCTGGTCAGGGTGTAAAAGATTGCTTTCATCACGACAGAGCTTGGATCAATAGTACTCTTGTGAAGTGAGGGGTTAGCCAGCAGACCTCAGTATGATAAACTGTAGAAATATATGAAATCACAGAAACTCTTATTGGAAAAAAAGATTAATATCTGAAGGGGTGTAATTTAACTGGTTTTGTTATATTCAAAGGTGTTATTTTTAAAAGTTATTGATAGCCTGAGAACATTTCATTCTGGGTACATCCTCGAAATTTGCACTTAACGTTTAAATTTGAGTGTTATTTCAGTGGATGTTCAGGAAGTTTTAACGGTAGATCCCAGTGCATGTGTGTCAGGGACAAATCTTTTGACAGAGCAAGAACTGAAGATGATGACAGGGAGGGGGGTCTCAGCACTTAGGGTAAATTTAGGATGCTTAACAAGAAGCTGCCTTCCTGCTTTCTCTTATTCTCTGCTTCTATTTCTGTCTTTTTTTCTCCCTCTCCTTTCTTCTTCTCTTTCACGCACTTCATATCTCCATCACACCAGGTCCCCTTCTGTCTCCTTCAGAGTCGGTTGCTTCTCAGCGGGGTGGGAGTAAAGTGTTGATTGGTACCATGCTGGCAAATGGCGGGAGATTGGAGGTAGCCCGCTGATGCGAGCTCATGTTGAGCCCACACCCCCTTTCGGCCTGGTCTGGCAGGAAAAAAAAAAGAGATGAAGCGATGGCAGGGGGCTGGCGGACCAAAATAAAAACAAAATGAAATAGCACTGAGTGAGAGAGGCACTTTCAGGGCTTCTTTACTGATGCTACAGCTACAAATAGGCATGACTTTACATGTCAGTGCTTTCCCAAGACTATAGGCTGTTATTTTGTTGCCAGTTGTTATTTTGTTACTTTTGACTAATGCACTGGATTGCATTTAGTTTTTTGTTTTTTTACCTTAGTCTTGTATTTGGGGATGCTTCAGCAGTGATGAATTATGACCAGTGTTGGGTAAGTTACTTTAAATTAGTAACTTAGTTACATTACTAGTTACTTCTATCAAAAGTAACTCAGTTACTTCAAGTTACTTGTTACTTTCAGAGTAACTAGTTATTAGGGAAAGTAACTTTGGTTTTACTCAGAATTCTCTTGTTAATGTGTTGCTTCCGTAACTGGA